CAGCCCAAGGGAAGAGTTAAGAAAGAATATGTCTTTCTCAGATATTGTTTAGATTAAAAAATAAGTTTAAATTGGACGGGGGTAAAAAGATATCTTTTGAATATTGAGTATATCAAGAACTGAAACTTAAAAATAAAATATATAAATATATGAGTAATGATTGTATGGGACCATTCATCATCTATGTGTGTAGGACCCCAAAAAATCACCATTAAAGTTAACATAAATTTTTAAAAAAGTTATCAAATAGGTGTGAGACTTGACTTTTTTATAGATCCATGATAAATTTAATGGTGATCTTTTGAGGTCCTACACACATGAGTGAGTGGGGGAGGATCATATAAGATCATTTCTCTGGATATATTTTTCCTAACTTTTGTTAACTCAACCAGCATTGCCCCAAACTCAACCCAAAATTATATAGGATAGGCCTGGTAGGGGTGGCAATGGGTGGCGAGAAAAAACTATAGGACCCGGACCTGACTGGAGCCAATTCGAGATTTTCATATGTTTATAGATCAACTTGATTTTAACCATTTTTTAAATTTAAAATTTTATAATTATATATAAAAATAGATTTTGAGATAATCCTAAGAACATTTTACATCAAAATTATATATCATGATAAAATTTGAAGGCGCACCTTACCTCTATACCTACGGATGCGTCCGTATGCAAAATGCACCCTTAAGATATTTTCTCTCTCTAATACTTAAAAATTGAGATAGTTTTTCTCTCTAAAATTTTTCAGGTAGTTTCCTTGTCTAAAATTTGATGTAGTTTCTAATCTCTAAAATTTTAATATGCTCTCTCTCTCAAACTTAAAATTTGAAATAATTTCTCTCTAAATGTTTTGAGATATTTCTCTCTACAAGTTTTTAAGTAGTTCATCTCTCTAAAATTTAAAGGTGTTTCTCTCTCTAAAATTTTAAGATGCTTTATCTCTCTAAAACTTAGTATTTGAGATAGTTTCTCTTTCTAAAAGTTTAATATGGTCTCTCGAAAGCTTTAAACTTGAGATATTTTCTCTCTCTAAAAAAATTCATATATTTTCTCTCTATAATTTTTTTTTGTATATTTTATCTCTCTAAAATTTGATATAGTTTCCCCTTCTAAAATTTTAATATGCTTTTTCTCTCTAAAATTTGATACATTTTCCCTCTCTAAAATTTTGATATTTTTTTATTCTTCAACAACAAAATGGGTCATTTCCACCTATTTTGGTGAAATTGAGATTTCCAATATTTAGGCTTAAAATGAGCATTTAGGAATCCCATAGAAACTTCAATTCCAACGAAAATATCAATTCTAAACGAACCAAACACAATGACCTAGGAAATCTCAATTCCAACGAAAATGTCAATTCTAAGCGAACCAAACACAATTGACCTAGGAAATCTCAATTCCAACGAAAATGTCATTTCTAAGCGAACCAAACGCAATTGACCCAGCTTTTCCAAAAAAAGTGACTCCTAAAAATCTGAATCCAAGAAGCCAAAGGAGTCATAAATAAAAAATAATCTCTCCCTCTCTCTGCCCCGCATCAATCTCTCTATATCTCATCCCCTACAATGGCAACTAACTAAAGAATATAGAATCTCTGTCTTCAATCTATCTCTAAATGAAAAATTGGAAATTGATAGCGGTGGTGGCCCCTATCAACTAGTTATTATTTTTAGTAATTTTCCTCGTTTTTTTGTCGTTATAATTGAATGCCACCATTGGACATACACCCCTCTTATTCATAATACGCCCATCCCCACCTAATGGTACACCTAATAGTATTAGTTTATTAGGTATGAAGTTTATTCAATGAAAAAGTTGTACAAGAGAATTGTCCCGTATCAAAGAGATGAAAAAAGAAAAAATCATATAAAAGAAATTGAATCAATGTAAAACTGTGACAATTTTTTGTGGTGCAGGGCTACGCGTGAATGATAGTTGTGCATGTTGGCATTAGCAATTGTGGGGTTGACTTCATGGGCCAGGTGGGCATGGATTTTTAAGTAGATGATGACATCGGCAAGCGACTCATGTGACTCATGGTGTCATCAGGGCTAATTAGATAATCATCTGAATCCCATTTCTTTTCGAATTTGGGATGGACTGGGAGATACTCGATCCAAATCGCCCAATTTTGGATCGGGTCACAGATTTTTAAAACATTGTATCAAAGTATCAAACATTTATTAATTTGCTTTACTCATCCAAAATTATCACAACTTAACTAACTATAATATTACATACTTATATTGAAATTGTTGGTTTATGTTTTATAATTTTTTACTATACAAATAATAACAAATCTAAAATATCATCTAATTTAAAAATTCTTATTGACAACTAAAAGAAAAAAAAAATTTTCTAAGTACAAGTACTCAGAAACTCAAAATCATTTTTAATTTTTATAAATATTGATAGATTGTAAAGTGGAGCATAATATTTTAGATCATTTTTTATTGTTCAAAAAGAAAATAGTTTAGATCAAAAAATACTTCATAAGTAAGCTTTTTCACCTTAGGGATTAAATGTACATTGTGATCTTGCGGAACCTTGGTGCATGCACTCTTTGTTATGTCCCTAGGAACTTACTACTTGTGTCATGCCATTCTTGAGTTATACACTTTAATATGTTAAGTATGTTAGTGCCCCTATTTAACGAAGCAAAACAATACATCGAAGATTTAGGACGTGAACAAGTACATATAAAAGCCATCGATACATCATTGGAAGTATGTGCAGGAGGTGGGGGGTCGTGCACTTTTAAATTGCACAATAGCTTGTGGGTGAGTCGTTGTTTTTACTAAAAAAATTTGAAAATTGTTGAGCTGGTGGCGGTGGGTGAGCCGCTGTTATTATTAAATAAATTTAAAAATTGGTGACTCAAATTTGAAAATTTTCCTTTCTGGCGGTAAGTGGGTCAGCCTCGATTATTATTAAACAAATTTGAAAATTCACGTGGCGATATTAAACAAATTTGGAAATTCACATGGCGATATAACCGTTTCATGACATCATAATCGGTGACACGTCCGATCTGTGACATCATGTACTGATCTTGTGATGTCATCAAACGAGAAAATGGCTTGATCCCGTTTTATTATTGAATCCGGAACAGTCTAACCGATGCTCGATCCAGATCACCCAATTCCGGATTGGGTCACAGATTTTTAAAACATTGGTTTGAACCTTGTAGCTAGAGTATAGAAAACTCCTCAAACATTGGTTTGAACCTTGTAGCTAGAGTATAGAAAACTCCTCAAACATTGGTTTGAACCTTGTAGCTAGAGTATAGAAAACTCCTCAAAAGTGTGTATCAATGCTTAAAGGAAAATTGTTTCATGCGAGCTAGACCGCATTTCTATATATGCGGTCCAGAAAGTGTAAAACATCTATTTTAAAGATAAATGCACGTAGGTGTTCCATCTAAAAACAATGGCGGTCCAAATGTTTTCTTACTAGAATTATTATTTCTAAGTTAGAGATTATATTAAAAATTAAGTCTTAAAATCTATCTAAAAAATAGATTTATTAAGAGGTTTGTATTTCTACATATGCAGGCTTGGCCGAATAGAAACCGGGTCCATGCTTAAAACTTAGTATTTTTCATATAGATAGGAATCAGTCGGGACTTAACTAGTTCCAGGATAATACGGGTCCCAACCCAATTTCTGCCTAAAACTCTCATGTATATATTTTTCTCATTTTTTTTTTTAATCTTATCTAAATCCACACCTCATAAATCTCTATTTTAATATTTATTTTATTTCATTTAGTTTTAAATATTTTTTGGATCACAGATTCAAACCGATCTAGACCCAACCTAAATCGTAGATCCAATGATCCAACACATATCTAGTCTATGTCTAGAGACACTTCATTTCTGTAAAGGAAGGAGTGAAATTTGAGCTCGTGTCGTTGGCCTAATAAACTTAGAAGTAGAGGAGGCACGCCCATCCCGTCATCAGAAGGGAAGGCAAGAAAACAAAGCAACAAATACAAAGGAAAAATCCAAATATTACTTTAGAAAAGTATATAAAGTGACTATTTATTTTTAGAATAAGGTGGTAATTATCAAGATTGTCCGTCAAGTTTTAAATGAGGTAATGATCAATATTGTCCGTCAAGTTTTGAATCGGATTGTTGTACGTATTATCATTGAGTAGAAACAAATCTAGAAACAAAGTTCAAAAAAAATGTCTCATGCTATGTGACATACCCCAAGTCATCGAATTTAACATTTAAGAGTGAGACATACTTCAAGCCATCCAATTTAACATCTAAGGACATGACATACCCAAGCCATCCAATTTAACATCAAAGGGAGTAACATACCCCATGCCATCAAATTTAACATCTAAAGGCTAAGAGTTAAAAGTTTTCCCAATCCACGAGGCCATAAGAGGAAGAATGGATTATAGAAGACCAAACCAAGGAGAGGGAGAGAGAGAGAGAGATTTGGCTAATGGTATCTTAGAAAGCTGAATGATATCCATTTATCCAAATCTTCAAATAAAAAAATTAAAATAATTTAATTATTTGAGAGAGTAGGATGATGCCCATAACCAAATCCTCTAATCATCATCATGATAGTTTTTTTTCAATTAATTGGGGTCAGCTCAAGATTCATGATGAGTTTTGACAAAATTTTATATTGGTTGTCTACCTAAACGCAACCCAACCCTTTTACCTAGGCATGAGACGGGTTAAGGGAAAGTTTAAGTTCCTCACCCGTCATAGACCATTTCCAAATATTCTAGTAAAGAAATTAAATAGCTTACTTCTCAGTTCTTTTATGTTAGGTAAATCTAGACATGGAGTCTCTTATATTAAAAAGACGAATTAATTGGCCCTACCATGTCAAGCATTGGGAGCAGAAGACACAAAAAATAACTTGTCCATGAATCTTCAAATTATTCCATCCATTAAAAAACTATAAGCAAGATATAACAAAAGAAGTTAATTGTATTTATCAGCAATTATCTAACATCATATCTTGATTAACTGGACCTAACAATCCTCTTACATGGCAAGAGACTATACTCAATAGGCAAAAATTCATCAATTTCTGTCACTGGGCAACCAGGCTCAATCTCCATAAACCTTCCACTTTTGACATAATAAAAATATAGGTCCTTTTTATCTTTCTCTATAAACATGTTTTCTTCTAGTAAACCCAAGCAGTGCCAATTGGATGCCACTGCAATTGTTTCCAAGTTTACTACATATTTTCTAAACCAATCCCTTTTGACAAAATCTCTTAAAACCCACACCTCAAACTGAATATCCAAGTCATAAACTACGCATAGATTCCCTTCACTCTCTGCAATACGAGAGGCCCACTCTAGTCGTGGGCCGATTATCTCGCCGAAGCCAGTGCCATCTATATGTAGTGCCAATATGTAGGGACTGCCATTCTCATCCTCATCTTCATCTTCATCCTCATCCTCAATGTTAATATGAACTATCCAATGGAATACTCCATTAACTAATACACTAGAACTCGTGTCCAATTCGTAACCATGATGTAGATGTACAATTCTAATTAATCTCCACATCCAAGAATGTGAATTGAAGACCTCACATTTCAAAATCGAATCCGAATGCTCATAATTGGAGAGGCGCACTACTTGGTAATCGTAAGGCTCAGAAGTTTGAGCAACCATCGCTATGCAACAAGTTCCAATGTCCGAGTTGGCTCTTGGGAGCTCAATGAACTCTCTCGTTGTGGGATTGCAAACGAAGAACTGTCCCCCTTGTGCCCAGCTTTCGCAACACAGGAGGCCAGCGGAGGCGGAATGGACTATCGTCTCGCCAAATTGGATGTCCCAGTGTTGTATAAATACTTGAAAGATTTGATCTTCGCGAGCAACTAAACAACGATGACATGAAGGGTTTATGAGTTGTTGCAGCAAAAAGGAATTCTTCAATCTGTGTCTGACTCTGCGTCTGACATTGTATTGTTGAATGAAATTCGAGTGCACGGTGATGTTGCGCCAAGACTTGCATACACACCTAACTCGCAGAAGAGACTTAACTGGCAAGTTGATCAATATCTTACCAATGATGTGTTCTGGTAGATAATGCACAATGTCGCTCTCTTCAATATCATGATCTATGCCATTGATGGGCGGCATGTTTGCCGAACTTGCATGGAGTTTTAGGGAGAAAAATGTGACAATAAGAGGG